GCTACATAATGAGATCCTGTCTCACAAAAAAAAAAAAAAAAAAAAAAAATTCAGAATAGTTCATCCCATAGGCTATTTGTGTTCTCTTTACTATTGGAAACAGAATCATTAGCAATGTTAAATGTAATCAAATTATAGAGTCAATTTCAGGAACTCTAGAACTAATTGACAAAGTTTATCCTTAAAATTCTGTCTCAATCCACTCTTGGTACCAAAATATGTATATACCAGGGTTCTTCAGAGAAGCAGACCCAATAGGCGATATATTCCTCGGGGAATCTCTTAATATTATTGCACCCTGTTGTTAAGGTCAGTGGGAAGCTAGAATGATGCAGTCCAGGCAGGTGATTTCACTTCTGTGATTATGGAAGTTGAACAGTCATGATCTACCATCTGCATACTGGAGAACCAAAAACTCCAGAGTGATCCAGTCCCAGAACAAAGGCCCAAGAGTTGATTGCTGCATGTGAAAGTTCCAGTCTAAGTTCAAAAGCCCAGGAATCAGTAGTTCTGATGTCTTAGGACAGGAAGACCCTTAGCTCAAGCAAAGAGTAGGAACATGCCCTTTTTTTTTAAAATTTATTTATTTTATTTATTTATTTGTGTGTGTGGCCAGCTCAGCCCACCACGGGGCAGGGCTGGCTGGCATGTGGTGCTGGGGGATTGAACCGCGGTCTCTGATGCTTTGCTAAGCTTGTTCAAAGTAGGTGCTTTAGACCACTGAGCCATCTCCCCAGCCCGAAACATGCCCTTTTGCCTTTTTGTGCATTTAGTCCTCCAGTGTTCGGATGGTATCTACTCTCATCATAGTGAGAGTGATGTTTCCACTCTATCTATTGCTTGAGATGCTAATCTCTTCTGGAGACACCCTTATAGGTAAACCTAGAAATAGTATTTTACCAACCTTCTGGACCTCCCTTACCCTAGTCAGGTTGACATGTGAAATTAACCATCACTGTATGGATTCACATATATTTATTTTATACTTTGGGATAGAATACTCTTTTTATCTTGTTTCTCAAATTGTTTCAGGTTTGGTTTTCATAGCTTTGTCCACATTTGTTTGGCTATTGGGATCTCTTCCTTGTCAGAAAAGTAGCCAAGAAAGGTTGTTTCCTGTGTCTTTTTTTCTTTTTTTTCTTACTTTTTTTTTTGTGGAACCGGGGATTGAACTCAGGCCCTTGTGCTTGCCAGGCAAGAACTTATTCTACTGAGCTATCTCCCCGGCCCCTCCTGTGTCTTCTTTTTTTTTTTGCATGCCTTTAGCTTACTTTCTGATTACAAAATACTCCAGGGTTATCTTGCATTCTCCTTGTCTTCATGTTAGAATTGCCACTTTTCCTGGCTTTTTCTTTTGTTGGAAAATGTTACTTAGAAACTGAGAACTGGGCAGTGGTTGTACTTATTAGTGTGGGTTTGTCCTTCCTTCTAGGTCTTCTTAGTAAACCGAGCTATGTAATATATATGTACACAGCACAAAAAAAAATACACACTTTAGAAAACAAACACATAAATATTTTAATACTAGATGTATTGAGGGCCAGGGAGATAGCTCAGTAGAATAAACACTTGCCTGGCAAGTGCAGGGCCCTGAGTTCAATCCCTGGTACCACACACACACACACACACACACACACACACACACACAAGAAATACTAGATGTATTGAGACACCATGAGATTAATACAAGTTGCCATTGGCCTCTACAATCACATGAGGTGCTCTTAGTGGTGACAGTTAGCTTCTAGACATTCACAAGTATGGCGAACCGGTGCTTGGTCGTTAATATTGGGGCACATGCATTTTCAATTTCTTCTCTAAGGGCTAACAGTGTATTAAGTTTCCTGTGATATACAACATCCTCTAGAGTTCCCTCATACCTTTTCCTTTGTTGAAGTGTGTACACATTTATTTTACGGACTCTGTATATACTAACATATTTACAGTGATATCGGTAGATACATATGCTAAGGTCACCTGATGGAGACCCTTCATTTGTGCCTATATTATTTATCAGGCCATGGGCCAGCAGTAGTAGTTAGCTTTCTTTCTTTCTAGAGATTCCAGATATTCTTGTACTTCATATGTGCCAAGGTGTCTTGTGTGGTATCCATTACTTGACTTCTGTGTTCTGGCCATTTATATCTGAGCATGCCTGCAAGCATGCAAGGAAAGTGAGACAGGCAATTTTCCACAATATCTCTGTTTGGAAGCTAGAGGACATCTTGGTACAGTTGTCCTCAGGCCAGAAAAATCATATTACAGCGGTGCTGAAGGACAGTGGGATCTGGGATATCATGAGATGCAGGAGGATTTAGATCAAGAACATAATACCTTTGGACTAGGAATACAGTGGCTCTGACCGAAGCCTTTCCTGTTTTGATGGCTATGTATGTATATGCCTGGAGCAAATGAGAAAGCACTGTGGTGACGAGGAGGATTCTGGTCTGTGCAAAAGAAAAATGGCTTATAAAGTGGATCCACCCCTTATTTATGTTTAGAGTCCTAGAATGGTTTTTGGCTACCTTTCTGACAAGTAAAATGAAATATTTCAGACTGTTGTATTTCTTTTTTTTTT